ATATTATGCAATGATATTATGCAGCGCCTGAAAATAGTCCCCAGCTAGGTAACTTCCAATAAGCCTATTTTCATGCGATGCATAATATCATTGCACCTGCTGCACCCATGGTATGGCAGCAAAGGTCCTTGATTATTACGCCGGAATGAAAGTATAGTTCCTAGCCATTTCGGCCTAGAAAATCATATCGGCCTAGAAAACAACTTTTCATTTTCCGTCTGTCTTAGTACATGATGTAACTACAGAAGAGTCAAGTTTTAAATAGGAAAAATATAGAAACTCTTTGGTCATTTTTGAGCGAGATGCTAACGGTCTAATCAGATTCAATGATCTATGCTAAGCTACAGCTAAAAGTGCTACCGCCAGACCCGGAGATCGGCTGAATGGATTAGAAAACGGTAAAACTCAACTGTTTAACTCTAGGGGAGTTGGAAAATTAGTCTATTTTCAAAAATAGTGGCGTGTTCTTCCCATAGGATTGAGTCAGACACATCCCACTTATCATTTAAAGAAAGAAAATCAGTAATATGAGCGGAAAAGGTTTGTTTAAAATTGTCTTTGTTCAACAGAGTGGGGTTAAAATGCCAAGCATAAGGGGCTCTATCAATTCCAAAATCTACTGTAATAGATACCGGGGAGTGATCAGATATTAAAATATTATGATATTTGGAAGATACCATCTTAGAGGTTAATTTGAAATCCGTTTAAAAAAATCTATTCTTGTGTATGAGTTATGGACATTAGAGAAAAAAATAATAATCTTTGTCAATAGGATGATGAAGTCTCCAAATATCCAGCAAATTCAATGAATGAATTAGGTTTTTAAGAACAGTGGTCGAGTTAGAAGGTTTAGGAGGGCTGTCCATAAAAGGGTCCAAGATACAATTAAAGTCCCCACCAATAATAAGATGAGTAGAGTCTACATCTGGAATAATATGAAAAAGAGATCGAAAAAAATTAGATAGGAGCATATAAATTCACAAATATAACATGTTTCTCTAGGACAGTACCAGTCACGATGAGATAACGACCATTAATATCTTGTTTAGTGGTCAAATGATGAAAAGGAATATTCTTACGAATTAATATAGACACCCCTCGGGCATTTGAAGAAAAAGTAGAGTAGTACATTTGGCCAATACATCTACATTTAAGTCTGTGAGAATTGGAATGCTTGATGTGAGTCTCCTGCAGGAACAATATATCTGCCTGTAAAGAGTTTAAATGAGTGAAGACTTTTGAAATTTTAAATATATTATTTAACCCACGCACATTCCAGCTCAGAATATTCAAATGTTTCTCAGGGAGGTTCATCAAAGTGCAATGTAAGAAAAAACATTGGGTAAAATGAATAGTAATTAAAGTATAACCATAGATGTTGTTGAATGAGTAAAACAATCAAACTAAAAATTCTAGTACAACGATAAACTGGCATAAAACTAACCCCGTGATTACGCTTCTCGAACATAAGCGAAAATCAAATTAGCCCATTGATTGCTGAACTGAACACGAGGGGAAAATTAATTGAATACGGGATAGCATATCTCAGATCATTCAGTCTTGGATGAATTAGAGAGATTTTTGAGTTTATATTGAGATCTCTGACTTTTGATTGAAGACTTTATAATCTTGGCAAATCTGAGCACATTTTAAGACCTCCTTTGACACTATAAAGGAGACTTATGCGAGATTACTGGGGTTTTCAAGTAAACATGCTACTGTAGATGAACATCTTTGACCATTGCAACGTGCCGTTGTTTTTCAGCATCTCACGCCATAAGCACCACATTTTTAAGATGCTTTGTCGAGTTTAAAACAGTCTATTCTTTTGCATTGTGTCTATTTCTAATGCAAGAACAATGACTTTCGCACCAATCAAATACTGTACACCAAACCCTGATGGCAAACAAACCAAAAGCTCCAGCGTGATACTGGATAGTATATCTCATATCATACAGTCTTGGACGAATTTGAGAAATGTTTGAGTTCATATTGAGATTTCTGACTTTGATTGCTATCTTGGCAAATCTGAGCACATTTTAAAACCTTGTTGTTAGACATTCTAGGAGACGCATATGTATTATTTTAGTATCTATTATTTTGAAAACTATTATTTTTAGTTTTCATTTTAATTTTAAAGTTTTAGTAGTTTTGTTGTATTTTTGTCCATTTTATTAAATTTTTTATTTTTTTAAATATGTCTGTATAGTTTTTATTCATTTATATTTCAGTTTTAGTTTTAGCACATCCAGTTAAACTGAATGAAAATTAGAAATGTGGCAACTAGCAGAAATAAAATACATCTTTATGTATTTTATTTTATTTCAGATAATGTTTATTTCATTTCAAATAACAAACATGTATTTTTATGGTTTTAGTCTTAGTGAACTATAATAACCCTGGAGGTTATAGTTTTTTTTTCTTATGGGACTCAAACAAAAGCCTCCGTTTGCTCTGTTTAACCCCATTGCTGTCTAGGAGAAACAATTGAGATATTAAAGAGATGTCATTTGTGATTTGTCCTATGGGAAGAGACCCAGTTTGTCATTATTGATCATGGAGCCACAGGAGGCTTCAGTCATGCTCAACCCCTCCCACCAACACTCATGAAATCAGCAGTCTGCCTTAATCTGAGACGTGCTGTATTTCAGAGAGAGAGAGAGAGTGAGAGATCGTACCGCAGTACCGTCACACGCTCCTGTGCTCAGACCGGAGTGGAGCACGAGGGACAGGCGGAGAGAACAGGGCTATGACGACTGCAGCGTCCCGACCGCAGCTCAACTGAGGAGGGGAATCTGTCGCTCCTCTGCTCCGGCTCTGGGATTAAGTTTTTGTTCCCGTCTTGGCATCATGGAGTCTCCCACCAGAGAGATCGAGGAGTTTGAAAGCACCTCGCTCAAGTACTTACAGCCCGACCAGATCGAGAATATCTGGCTCCGACTGCGGGGACTGTGAGTATGAGCTTTTCAAAAGGTTTTCTTGTGTTTTCTGTGTGTGTGTGTGTCCATCTAAGAGGTTGACAAACATCCTGAATCTCACTTTTCACCCCAAAATAAGTATGGAAAAAATAAGAAATTATAATCAGAATAAACCCTAAAGCCTATTTTAGGACTGTTTTTAATGACAATTAAGCTTTTTATTTTGTTGATTCTCGTTACTGAATGTCACTTGGTGCAATAAAATGTTTTGTTTAAATCAACATAAATTAAAGGCACACTTTTCAGATTTTTTATAAAATAATTAAAATTTAAATAATTAAAACATTTTTGGATACCTTCTGGATTTGAATGAACAAATTGAGAAATTACCAAAAAGTAAATGAAAAAATAAGAAAATAATATTAAAATGTATTACTTTTTGGATTATATATATATTTATTATTTATTATTATTTTTTTTTTTTCTCTCAATTGTCCCCATGCAAAAAGTCTTGATTGTCCTACCATAATACTTAAAATTGTTATCTTTTTCTGTTTTTTTGTATGAAATATGACTTAACTATTCTGGATGGATGCACCTAAGAATGCAATTGCAAATGCAAAACATTTGCAGAAAACCAATATTCACAAATATTATTCTTTAAATTACAGTAATTGTTCCTGTAAAGAAAGGTTTTTATTGTGACTTTATTCACACTACAATGAGGTCATTTCACTGAGAGCTGGTGACTTTTTATGAATATGTTTCAAATACTTCTCAAATCTATATGAAACAGCTCCATCATCTGCAGTCAAGCTCATTTCTTCGATGTCAATCAGTTTTTCTCTCTGGCTGTTATTGGGCAGCTGGAGAGAAAGTCTCTATATTGTCCCAGAACTCAGTGAATGAAATGCAATTTCCTCAGTATGGGTGAAGAAGAAAAGACGAGTGAGAGAAGGAGAAAGAAGAAGCGAATGAAAGCAAGAAAGAGATGAATGAGGGGCGGGCTGTTTGTCTCCTCTCATATTTTCTTATTTTTGTTTATATTGGTCTTATTGTAAATGATTCTTTAGTGCATGCTATTCTAAAGAAGAGAATGTCTGTCTTTATAATCTTTCATCCAAACATAACTTGCTCCACCTCTGAAATGACTTTCTTTTTCTGTTGACGTCAACAAGAACCCTTCATTTTCAACTCCTCCCCTCAGACTTTTCATAATCCAATCAGTTCTTCATGAATAAAATCAAGTCCCTCCTATCTTATTTTCCTCGTTAAATATTTCACTTAAACATACATTAGAGTCATATTACAGAAGTAAAATTGGTTTTATGTTGACTTTAAGTTGCTCTAAGTATTTAGATTTCCAAATTTGAGCATTACCTCCAATAATTTAGTAATGGAAAAATAAATTTTTATGTATTATATTTACTATCGTGGACATTATTATTTATTATTTACTATCATGATGTATAGTATAAAAAGAATAATTCACATAAACAATAAAAAAAAGCATTTTTGAGACGTACCGGATTTGAATGAGCGAATATGATAAAAATATAATAAAATAAAAAAAACATAATTAATTAAAAAATAAAATAACATAAAAAATATAATTATTACTTTTTCACATTATAGTTATGAGGATTTATTTATTTTTTCATGAAATTTTTTTTTATGAAAATCTGTCCTAATTCTAAAATGTCTTTTTTATTTAAAAAAGATAAGTCTCTCTCCCTTATTTTTATCGTTAAATGTCATATTTCACTTGAATGTACACCAGAAGTCAGAGTCAGAATAGTTCACTAAAAATGAAAAGAGATACACTCACTTTTAAATACAATTGTACACGCCTTAATATTTGTGGGTGAACTATTCCTTTAAGAACTTTGTTGTTCTCTCTAAGGGAGAGCCAAAAACAAGAGCTCTTTTTGCCAAAATTGTGTTAGTCCCTTCACTGGGTTTGGATTATTGCCCGTCACAGGACGTTAAGCTGTTTTGCTGTGTTTGGGCATATAGAAGCAGCGGTATATGTGGATGTTAAAGGTTACTGCAGTGGGTAAATCTGACCGCATCAGCATTTAATCTCACAGAGAGCCTCAAACACACACAGCTGTCGTGAGTGTGCATGTGCGCATTCGTGGACATGGTTCTGCATGTGCGTTTGTGTGTGCGCAACACTTCAGTGGTGTGAAGCAGCACTCATAATTGTGTTTGGGGACTTTAGAAAGAAAAGGTGGACAGTAAGAAGGAGTTTCCTTTTCTAAAGAGTAATTTCAGGCACCAGTGATAGTGGCTCATGGCAGGAATGAGTAATGATTGGGCAGCTCCGAATTTTCCTGTGCGTTGACTAATTGTTTCACCGTCCTTGTGTTGTTAATGGACTTTATGGAGAGACATATATCTGTAGCTGTCAGCTACACACCATAAAAAGCAGTGCTTTAAACAGCCTGTATGAAAAGTTGACTTAATGACTTTTGAAACATAATTTGTATAGATTCATGTCTCAAAAACTGAAAAAAATTTGACTGAATTTTGATTTGATATCAATCAGGTATACAGTAAGAAGTCGTGGCCTAATGGTTAGAGAGTCGGACTCGTAACGCAAATGTTGCGGGTTCAAGTCTCGTACCGGTGGGGGGAGTGAATGTACAGCGCTCTCTCCCACCTTCAATACCACGACTGAGGTGCCCTTGAGCAAGGCACCGAACCCCCAACTGCTCCCCGGGCGCCGCAGCAAAAAAATGGCTGCCCACTGCTCCGGGTGTGTGTTCACGGTGTGTGTGTGTGTGTTCACTGCTGTGTGTGTGCACTTTGGATGGGATAAATGCAGAGCACTAATTCCGAGTATGGGTCACCATACTTGGCCACGTCACGTCACTTTTCACTTTAAGAGTTTTATTTTATTTTGTTATTTTATTTTATTATTTTAAGAGAGGGCATGTGTTTGTGTTATATGTAAATAACTTTTAAGTAAATTTGTGTTTTTTATTTTATTTTATTTTATTTTGTTTTGTTTTGTTTTGCATGAGTTTGCATGTGTTGTATGTGGAGAACTTTAAGTAATTTTTCCAAAGTGGAAGCAAAAATGTTTTGCAAATTGCAGGGCCATAAAAACAACCTGAAAAATGAATGACAAAATAATATAACTTATAAAATGCATAATAATAACAATAATTATTATTATTATTAATCTTTATGCTACAGTTAAAATAAATACATTACACCACTGATAAACATTTGATCTGAAACAGCATGAAACAGTTTAAATACACTGTGTGTGTGTTTAGTATTATTTATGAAATAAACCCAATATAATTGTGCACAATAGCTAAATGCATGTTTTAATATGGTGTTTGTTTTGTTTCAGGAGGAAGTACAAGAAAACATCTCAGAGGTAAGGCAGTGAAGATTTGAGGAGTGCTGAACTCATCACCATCCACTGTGAAAACCACTTTCAGCAATAAATGTGATTTCTCTAATACTTGTATTTCTTGTATGTGTTAGCCAAAATCAGTAACATTCACTCAAGCATGGAAAAATCTAGCTAAAACCACCCGAAGGTAGCTGGTCCAAACTGGTGTAGGTGGATGACCTCCCTTCTAATGGTCAGGCTGTTGTTGTTGTTTTTTGGAATGGCTCCATTAAGAGCTATTAACATGCATGGAACATTTCCATTCCACAAAAGGTTCCAGAAACATGCATTAAGAAAATAAATGGGGCCTGTTATGACTTCCTGTTGACTTCAAGTTGGTTTAAACTGGATTTTCCAGCAGGGGCTGGTATAAAAATGATGTAGTGTGACCAGAAACATGTATGGTAAATGGGCTCAATTTTGACTTCCTGCTGTTTTTTTGAGCTGGGTTTTCCCAGGAGGAGCTAATATTAGAAATGTGTAATTGTTTCTGATAAATTCCCATAAGAAGTGATGTCACTTGATTCTGGAGTAAGTTTGTGATGGAGTAGAGTTACTTACTGTTTTTTTTTTTGTTTTTTTTTTACATAGTAAGTGGTTGGTTACTGGTCCAACGTGGTCTACCAGGACTAACCAGCTTGCTCAAGATCATTTAAGCTCAGTTAGTATACCAGCAGTTGACATGAACTAGCTTGGACCAGCTAGAAACCAGTTCCAAAAACCAGTAAAACTATGAAGATTTTTTTTTAGTTGTGTGCAGTATGACTAGATCAAGGAAATGGGGTCAGTTTTGACTTCCTGTTATTTTTTTTCCCAGCAGCCACTGATATATTTCTTCAAATTTCTGATAAATTCCCATATAAGGAAGCTTGTTTCCACCTAAATATCTCACAAAATATTAAATATCTCACAATCTGGACTTTTTATTTTTAATTTTTTTATAAATTCATATAAACTCTGAATAGCAAGATATAAGTGCAGAATTGAGTGAAGTCAGAATTTTGAGTTTATATCTCACAATTCTGACTTTTTCCGTCATAATTCTGAGAAAACGGTCAGAATTGTGAGATATAAATGCGGAATTGTGAGGTACTATATAAACTCAAATTTGTGATATAAATGCAGAATTGCAAGATATAAACAGAATTGCAAGATAGAATTTATATAAACTCAAATTTGTGATTTAAATGCAGAATTGCGAGATATAAATTCAGAATTGTGAGATATAAACAGAATTGCAAGATAGAATTGATATAAACTCAAATTTGTGATATAAATTCAGAATTGTGAGATAAATGTAACAGGATATAAAGGCTGAATTGCGAGATATAAACTCATATTTGTGAGATATAAATGCAGAATTGTGAGATATAAATACAGAATTGTGAGATATAAATGCAGAATTGCAAGATATAAACTCAGATTTGTGAGATATAAATGCAGAATTGTGAGATATAAATACAGAATTGTGAGATATAAATGCAGAATTGCAAGATATAAACAGAATTGCAAGATAGAATTGATATAAACTCAAATTTGTGATATAAATTCAGAATTGTGAGATAAATGTAACAGGATATAAAGGCTGAATTGCGAGATATAAACTCATATTTGTGAGATATAAATGCAGAATTGCGAGATATAAACTCAGATTTGTGAGATATAAATGCAGAATTGTGGGATATAAGATCAAATTTGTGATATAAATACAGAATTGTGAGATATAAATGCAGAATTGCACGATATAAACAGAATTGCAAGATAGAATTGATATAAACTCAAATTTGTGATTTAAATGCAGATTTGCAAGATATAAATTCAGAATTGTGAGATATAAACGTAACAGGATATAAAGGCTGAATTGCGAGATATAAACTCAGAATAAAGGAAGAATTATGATATAAAAAGTCGCAATCAGAATTGGAATTGCGAGAAAGTACATCTGAATTCTGAGTTTATCTCTCGCTATTCTGACTTTTTTTCCTGGCTGAATTGTGCGATATAAACACAGAATTGTGAGAAAAAAGTCTTAATTGTGATAATTAGAGTCACAATAATAATGAGACAAAAAATCACAATTACAGAAACAAGCTTCCATCATAAGATCTGGCTGGACGTGATTATAGAGTAAGCGTGTGATTGAGTAGAGTTACCTTGTCCATTAATCGGAATTACATGGCAACACAAACCACAGTGTAGTATGTGGCTCTCTGAAAACATCTGTTGAAACAAATGCACTTCAGCCTGCACTGAGAACTCTGCAATTATGAGTGAGAAGAGGTGGAGAGAAGAACAGAGAAAGAAAGATGTCAGGAGAGCCGATGCAGAAACGTAGCGTAAGAGAGCGCGAATGAGAGAGAGAGAGAGATGGTGAAGCCAGGTCTAATATTAGAGCGAGAGTAGGTTTAATTGGGGAGGACTCAGCGGAGACTTTCCTCCGCTAACAGAGGGAGGGATGACTTCCTGTGCAGCTCCTCTCTGATTGGCAGCTCAGCGGGAGTCTGAGTAATTATGGCAGGCTAATTGGCTGCAGAGCATTCTGGGACTCTGTCATTACAGATACAACAGGACAGTTACAAACACGTGTGTGTGAGAGAGCATTCACACGGACACACATACAGTACATGAGGAAGACATGAGGGTCTTTCATTCATTTTCATACGAAATGAATTGAGCAGTTATTATCAATGTAACTTACACTTAAACATCTGTGCGATATAAATGCAAAATTGTAAGTTACAAATGCTGAATTGCAAGATATAAACAGAATTGAAAAATATAAGTGCAGAATTGTGATATAAACTCAAATTTGTGATTTAAATGCAGCATTTCTATGTAGATATAAACTCAGATTTGCAAGATTCAGCATTGCGAGATATGAATGTAGAATTGCAGGATATAAATTTCACAATATTAAAATTTTTACTGTATTTTTGAACACATAAATGCAGCCTTGGTAAGCATAAGTCACTTCTTCTTTCAAATACATTAAATTACACTTATTGTACAAAGTACAATAAAGTATATAATATATAAATTATCTTAAGTAAAAACATTTAAATATAAATAGATATTTAATATTTAAATAAGTACAGTTAATTAGTGATTGGTGCATGAGAATATTAAGGTAAAGAGAAATAAATAAAATTAAATACGTTATATAATATGTAAATTATATCAAATAAAAGCATTTAAATATATTAAAATTTAATGTAGATATTACATTAAATACAATAAACTTTTATAGAATGCAATAAGTCATAGAAAGATTTTGACTCACAAATGCACTACTATATGTGACCCTGGACCACAAAACCAGTCTTAAGTGTCAATTTTTTCGAAATTGAGATTTATACATCATCTGAAAGCTGAATAAATAAGCTTTCCATTGATGTATGGTTTGTTAGGATTTGGACAATATTTGGCCGAGATACAGCTATTTGAAAATCTGGAATCTGAGGGTGCAAAAAAATCTAAATATTGAGAAAATCATCTTTAAAGGTGTCCAAATAAAATTCTTAGCAATGCATAATACTAATCAAAAATGAAGTTTATATATATTTACGGTAGGAAGTTTGCAAAATATCTTCATGGAACATGATCTTTACTTAATATCCTAATGATTTTTGGCATAAAATAAAAATCGATAATTTTGACCCATGCAATGTATTTTTGGCTATTGCTACAAATATACCCCAGCGACTTAAGACTGCTTTTGTGGTCCAGGGTCACATGATAATTTTTGGTGCTTTTCTGGAGCTTGTTTGGACACTGTATGCTTTCGTTTATTGGAAACAAGAAACAACATGAGGCTAAATAAACCGAGACAGAATTTTCAGATTTAGGTAAGCTGTCTCTTTAAGAAGCTCTTTCTCCATATAATTTATTTACCTTTTTTTTTTTTTTTTTACATTCTCCCTGTGTTATCTTGTGTTATGGTATTTCGACCAGTTGTTAGAAATGATACAGAACAGTTCAACAGCATATTCAGTTCATCTCAAAAGTTATTGATCTGGCTCTAGTTGTCATATAACATTTCTGAATGTTGTTGGAGACCGGCAGTGGCAGAAGGTCTGAGAGCTCTTGCACCTGGAGATCGCTGCTTTGAGTAAATATAGGCTGTAAATACAGGCTGATGATCAATGCCGGACTAATTGATCCAGAATGTTGGAGTGGTGGCTGCAAACACTCACAGAAGGTAAAGAGAGAGGAGCGTGTACTGAAACACCTGCATGTAAATGATACCAGCAATCACACACACTTCACATGAGCTCTTCAAAACCACTCCACATCCTCATTGATGATAAGAGTGGGTCCTGAATGCTGACTGAGTGCGTGTGTGTGACACAAACAGGCAGATTCCTCTTAAAATATACTGAAATACAATTTATCTGTAATTTAAGTGTTTATAGACTATGCGGCCTGCATACGGTGTATACTGCTACTGTTGACTCTAACTGAAAAGCTTCCAACATTTGATGAACTTCACCAAACATCAAGAAACCAACTATAATAATAATAATAATAATAATTATTATTATTATTATTTATTTCTATTTTATTATTATTGTCGTTAACATTTATACACCACCTTTCTAGAACCATAATGATAAGAGTGGGTCCTGAATGCTGACTGAGTGCGTGTGTGTGACACAAACAGGCAGATTCCTCTTAAAATATACTGAAATACAATTTATCTGTAATTTAAGTGTTTATAGACTATGCGGCCTGCATACGGTGTATACTGCTACTGTTGACTCTAACTGAAAAGCTTCCAACATTTGATGAACTTCACCAAACATCAAGAAACCAACTATAATAATAATAATAATAATAATTATTATTATTATTATTTATTTCCCCCCCTGGTGTATAAGAATAATCTTCACAGTAACTAGATGTAACGTTTTTTTTTTTTAACGAAATAAACTTCAGTGATATATAAATGTGGACAGTCAAGTGTTAATGTCACGGTACGGTGT